CAGCCAACGAAGGAGAAGTAACGGCACCATCAGTCCATGCCATGATTAGACGCGGTCGCTGAATCTGGGCTGGTGCTCGCCAGTCCCTACTCAGAAGTTCGGGTCGGATGAAGGCTGTGGCAGACGTCCATTGCAGGGCCGCTCCCCTCTACAGACCGGGTCAGAAGGTTTGGCTTTCCACCAAGGACCTACCGCTTCATGTCGCCTCCAAGAAATTTGCTCCGAGGTTTGTGGGTCCATTCCCGGTGTCTAAGGTCATCAATCCTGTGTCTGTGCGCCTACGACTTCCCATGTCTATGAGAGTACATCCCACCTTCCATGTCAGCAAGATCAAACCAGTGTTTGAGAGCACACTTGTTTTCATATAGGCGGACCAATCAGCAGGGGATGGCAAAAAAAGAACATCTTGTATTTGGCAAATATTATTGATGGAGCTTTGAAATAATTAATCCTGAGATGTTTGGCAGCATTCTAGCTAAAGTTAGGTGAATAAACATTTATAAAAATATGAACATTTGATAAATATATTTTGACATAAAAAACAACTCCCTTTAAAAAGTATGTGTCTGTGTTTAGTGCCACAATATCACAGCATCATGTTAAGGTAAAAATTATAATTCTATCTACAATACAACATTCTAATTTCCAAAAATGTGTTACTCTAAAGGCCCGGACACACCAAGCTGACACCAAAGAACTGACACAGACGGACCCCCGACTGTTGTGTCGCCTCGCATCTCTGCGTCTTGGCCATGTGTCACACCGCCAATCAGAGTGATTTATTTTGCCGACAGCCTTTGGCCGACTGCAAACCAAACATGTTGAATCGGTGGGTTTTCGGCCGAAAAGGTGTTGGCACGGCTGAAAAGACACAACGGTGCGGGACACACCAATCTGAGTAGGGCGTGTCGACGCTCGTCGACGCTCATGGTCGGCCTGACGCCCATCGACGGCCAAAATCGGCTTGGTGTGTCCGTGCCTTTATAGAGCGCAGTTTAGGTGAGCAGGCATATGCAAAACTGACATCTAGGGTGTCATGAAAACCTTTGTAAGTAAAGATAAAAAATGCACTCATCACTCGTGCTGATAACCCTGGCTCAGCAGGCGGACATGTTGCTCCACCAGAAACATCTCTAAATGAACAGCAAGGCTAGAGATTATTCTTTTATCTCCCTATTTCTGACAGTAAATTAGTTTAAATCGCCTTAATATTGGCTTACAGTAGGATCAAACTATTGCTGATATATGAGTCGATTGCCATTTAGTACAAAAAGCACAAGACCTTTCAAAAAAGGTGCTCAATGCATTCTTAGAATGGAGGATTTTCTCATGCGACATTATTCCTGACATGTCCTGAAAGCTCATGTCTGCAAGTGCATCACACAGAAAGAGTGTAGACAAATGCACTCAAAAGGGGAAGACTATCACCTTACCACAATGCAATGCCAGGCAGATACATAATACCCTGTTAGCATTACACCTCGAGTAACCACACTCACTCATATTTATTTAGTCTCTACAACATTGTTTCATTCACAAAGAAATGTCTTTCTTTGCAACAGCTGTATGACAAACATACAGACAGAGACGTGTGCAGGCCCCTCGTATTAGCACACATTGTTCTAGTCTCCTGCTCTTGATGTCATTATATGCTGGGCTGTCACTTTTACCCTAAATAACAATTTAACACTTTGTGAAAAAAATCACAATAAATTAACTATAACTGATCTGTGATGGTATGATCTGTAATATAATGTGACAAAATGACATCTCAAATGTTCCCCTAATTATTGCCTGCGGTATAGCACACTGCGCATGCACCAAGCGTGCATTCAGGCTGTTGCAGTTGCTCCTGGCTGCCTTGTTTACACCAGGGAGAAACTAATAGTGCTAAAGCCTGCTGGCATGGTGGTCGGAAAAAAGGATATCCCCACTGAATCTGTAGAAGGACAAAGGGGATGCAGGGTAAACCGAAGAGACGAAGGAGGAGGGCTTAGTTCAGATGTTTGGAGAAAAGGATATATATGCGGTGTCATAAGATCACTGGCTATGCTAATAATGGTAAAGTTAACGGTATTGGCCGTCAGATGGAATAACTGAACTGTAGTTTAATGTGCTTTACGGAAAAAGGGCTGCGTCAGAATACATCTGACAAAATCCTGTGCCTCAGACGCTGTGCCTAAGACCCTGTTTCCCTGTGGCTGATACAACCTTGTTTGCACATTTTTACTTCAATTTGTGTTTATATAAATACTTATTTATTGTATTCTAATATAGTGCAACTGTCACAAAATCTAATTCTCCCCTGGGATTAATAAAGTATTTTTGATTGATTGATTCACCAAATTCACATAAATTGAACATCCTATGTTTTGAAATGGTTGACAGTGACATCCACTCTGCATGTTAAGAAATGCGATCAGCTGTTCCCTGCTATGCGGCCCTGGATGGTGGGACAGCCAACATGACAGCCAGAGAGCATGATATGTTGTCAGAAATCAATCCTGGCCACACCCTTCCACCTTTACCTCAGTCCACCTCACTTTCCTGTTTTCCCTCTTGAACAGTGAAACTCTACTCTGCACTAATCACTTACCTCTTTCCTCAGTTGCCCCCTACTCTCTGCGGTGAAACACAACTCTGGGCTAATTTTAGTCCCAGTGTGATCCAATATTGCCCATTACACTTCCCACACCTCTCTCCTTCACTAACCATCAGTGTACCTTTCAATGCCTCTTCATATCTTAGGTTCTCCTATGTCTCTCTCTCACGCTGTCCCTCTAGCTGTCTTTAAGACCCTTACGGACTTATAGACAGAAAGTATAAACTGATCAAACTAACAGCTGAGTTTCCCAGTATTCCACCAATGTCCTTTCTAAAGTGTTTGCAGTACATACTACTCATCATCAACAGCGTGTTGTATGTAGCTGGTGAAGAGTCACATACAGTGAAATGCCCTACGGAAGGATTTAGTGTGTTGCTCTAAGACACTTCTGCAGTCTTAATTAGAGCTGGGGACAGATTGTCTGACTGATTTTAGTTTCAAACACTGCAATGTTCTGTAGGAGCAACTAGCTGCTAATGTCAGGGCTTTAGCTGTTGGTAGGCCACGCTAAAGTCGGACTGAAGAGGTCACACAAATGTGGAAATATAGCAAAAGCCTACTGTAAATCTAGGAACTGATTGAAGTAATTGAACTGGATTTTAAACATAATGGGAAACCTGTGTAAAAATTGATATACATATATCGGTGTGTAGCTACAGTGTACAGCTGAATGTTAATGCATTTTGTCATTTGTAGTCAAACGTAATGCATATGTAGGTCTTTTTAAATAGAGAAGTGTTTAACTCCATACATTCTAAACATGACTGCCAACCCTAGTTGTAGACATGTGATATGCTAACTTTACTGGCAGAGTTTGACCTTAACCTCATTTTCTTTTAATGTAAGCCCATCACACAGCTCTGGGCGATGCACTCAAAATAAAAAAATAAAAATAAGTGACACAAAATTCCTGTTTTAATCTCTGCTCCCAAGGGCAATAGCATCAAACAAAAGGCTTTCCCCATCCTACACGGTCTTCAAAGACCCACTGACGCACACAGACACAGGTTAAATGATTTCGCACATCCTGGACTGCCCATAGGCATAGGGTTTCAACAACCAATTAACACTAGTGGTGACCATGACCAGCAGCCCTCACATACCAGCCAAACACATGATGATGATGATGACTATCATTCACAACAAATGAACTGTTTTAGGGAGTCACATGGTTTCTGTATTTCTGTTTATGAATTAACCTTCAACTATTCAGTAGTTTTACTTAAGATGTGCAGAAACAAATTCAGGGCTACAACTTATGCCAAAAACGTTCTTTTATTGGGGAGGCCTTTTGGCTTCCCTTTTACACTACGCATATAATCAGAGCACTATTATTGCCTTTTACTATATTTGTATTGTGTGTACTGATTCAGAGTATTGAAAACAAACAAAAAAGACACATTTTTAAAAATAAATGTCCCTGGGTTAGGGTAATCTGGAGTGTGATTCAGTTTTCCTTTCATTTTCTTTCATTTTTTCACAATTTTGTTCTAATAACAGAACATCCCATGATGGCAATCCTCCAGATGTTCTGACACAACCTTCACACCATCTTGTCCAAAAACATACATGTTACTATGTGACAGGAGAAGATTAACACCACTGCAAAGTGTGATCAGGTTTCCCTTTTTTGGAACACACAAGATCAGAACACCTAACACACACCATACCACACACACTGGGCCATAAACACAAAAGCAAACATGCAAAGACATTAAAGCACATGCAGTGTACACATGGACACAGATGTACATGGAAGGAAACTGTACACACAAAATATTAACATATTGTGTTGCACATAGCACAGAAGAAAGGCCTAGATGTGTTAAGACCAACCAGGGCTTAAGAACCGAGGCACACAAAGGTTAGCAAACAGGTGGCGTGCCAGGAAAGAAGGAAACAGCAAGACAGCAACATAGTGTGTGAGTGTGTGTGTATGTGTGTGTGTGTGTGTGTGTGTGTGTGTGGTGTGTGTGTGTGTGTGTGTGTGTGTGTGTGTGTGTGTGTGTGTGTGTGTGTGTGTATGCCAAGTTCAGGGGTGAAGGAGGTGCACAGTTTTTAAGCACCTGTTGTGTGACCATGTGTGTGACCCTGTTGTTATACATCAGCTAATTGGTCTTCCGCCTGTCTACAGCTCCCAAACACTGAACTGAATATTTTACAGGCTCACACACAATAAGATAAAGCGGCTCCATCCATGCACATACGTAAAGGTTGCACTACCAAAACAGGTGCGTCATGCAAGAACGACACGGGGGATTCAGGGAAGGAGACTGTGGTCACATAACAGAGAGAACTAAGCGTGACAGTGGAGATGAACAGATGGACATAAAAAGACAGAAAGAGCAACAGAGAGAAAAAGTAGCACTTAAAGGAATGACAGAGGGACACTGACCAGGGTTTGCTTGTATCTCAGAGCCTTCCTTTCCGACGCATCTGCGGCCATTGACACTGTCACTGACCCAAAAATAAACCCACCCGCTCACCGTCTGTCTCAGCATTACCAGGACGAGCTGGACACCCAGCCAGGAGACTCCAACACACACACATACACACACACACACATGCTGCAGGACCACACCGGGATAGACATACACACGCATGGACCCCCACAGAAACACACTTGCACTCTCTCACGCATTCTGACATGGTGAAAACTAGCTCCAGCAGGGGTTTCCCCCTACATGCCCCAAGCTCACTGCTCACCTCTTGGAAGTAAAGTAAGCAGAAAACTAAATGCCGAAGTGAATCCGTATACTGTCCAAAATACTATTTGCTGAACTTCTTAAGGGACACTGGGTATAAACTACTATTGAAATGACAGGAGTCAATCCATGGCAGCACAGCTTTAGATGAGACTGAGCTCCATCAAACACAAATACACTGTTTTTGTGTACTAAGCTAGGGTTTATTTGTTGTTGCACTAGCAACTCCTACCGGCTGCTCTGCTGTGTTGAAATGAGGTGAGGCATGGACTATTGTTCCCTGCAACGCTCATCATAACCTTCAATGGACAAACCAAACTTTATCGGGACTGTAGTGAAGCTGAGCATTTCTATAAAACAGTGATAAGCCCGGTTTCAGTTCAAACCAGAAATGAAGGTGGGAAATGACTGATGGACATGACCTGATAGATGGTATGATTATACATATAGGAGAAGAAATTAATTGAATTATGAAAATGGGAATTGTTGCAGTTTTGGTGATTTCCACAATTATTTTATTTTCTTGTAGGCCAATATTCACTGGTCTATGAGTTATCTACGCATTTATTTGAAGTTATTTACTTAATCATCTGCGAGTATGAATTGATGTTTATTAGATTTTGAATAGAGACCAATTTTAACTGGTCTCTATTGTTGTTCATTCCTCCTGAAATGTAATTTTGATGTATTGATTAGATCTAGTGTTACGAGACATTACCATGAATCTATTTCATTTCATACTATTATTTAAAAATGTTTGGGAGCTACCAGGAGGCTCGTCTAATTGAGCGAGTGAGTATGCACATTTATAGTGCACTCTTCCTTGCTGCGGTCTGCTGGGGGGGCAGCATAAGAGACGGTGACACCAGCAGGATCAATAAACTGATCAGGAAAGCTGGGTCAGTCATCGGCATCAAGCTGGACCCCTTTGAAGCTGTGGTGGAGAGGAGGACACTGAACAGGCTGTTGTCCATCATGGATAACCCCACCCATCCTCTCCACCTGCAGCTGGACAGTCAACGGAGCTCCTTCTCCAACAGACTGCTGCAGCTCCCCTGTCTCAAGGACAGATACTGGAAAACATTCCTCCCCACTGCAATAACACTGTACAACAAATCACCTCTGGCTGGAAGAGAACTCTCTGCTCCATAGTTTCTCTAGAAATAAAACCACGTTGTACATTTTACTCTATAATCTGTTCAATATTTATACTCCATATTACATGTCATATATTTTGAATATATATATATATATTTGTATATATATATATATAATATCTGCATGTATATTTTATATTTTATTTTATTTTTCTTTCTATTCTTGTAGTTTTGTTTTATTGTAAAATGCCTTTTATGCTGCTTTAACAACAACAATTTCACAATTTGGGATCAATAAAGTACGATCTATCTATCTATCTATCTATAGCAATCTATGTGCAGATAAATGTTGGGTTATGTATGTGATGGTGTGTGTGGTTGAAATTGTGTTACATGTATGTTTTAGTTCAGCTCTCAATTTGATAGGAAGTGAAAAAGAGATAACATTTAAATTGCCATCTTAATGTTGAATAAGTTACCAAGTAAAGGGTTTAAATTGGCTCATATAAATATATGTAGTCTAAGAAATAAAGTGTCTGAGATAGAGGAAATATTATCATGTGGTATTCATTTGTTAGCAATATCTGAAACTCACTTAGATGACACATTTAATGACGCTGCTGTGGACATTGATGGATATATAACATTTAGAAAGGACAGGAATGCATATGGAGGTGGGGTGGCAGTATACATTCAAAAGCAAATACCTAAAGTGAGATATGATTTGATGTCTGCTGATATTGAAGTACTTTGGTTGCAAATTCACTTACCTCACTTGAAACCTTTGTTGGTAGGATGTTGTTACAGACCTCCAAATGCAAACTTAATTTATTTAGACAAATTATGTGAAATGTTAGATAAAGTTTGTGATCTTGACAGAGAGATTTATTTTATCGGAGATTTAAATATTGACTGGAATATGTTGCACTGTGCCCTTAAAAACAAGCTGCAGACAATAACTACTACATGTAACTTGGTACAAATGGTGACTAAACCTACTAGGATATGCATAAAGAAAGATGGGTCAAAAAGTGCAACTTGTATTGATCATATATTTACTAATTTTAGCCATGTATGTTCTCAGGCAATATCAATTCCAGTAGGGTGTACTGATCATAATTGAATAATTATCGTGAGAAAGACAAAGGTGCCAAAAGCAGGACCAAAAGTAATTGTGAGGAGATCAATGAAATATTTTTGTGAAGAGTCATTTATACAGGATGTTCAAAAGATATGTTGGAAACATGTTTTTGAGAAAGTCGATCCAGATGATGCTCTTGATGTCTTTAATTTGTTATTTATGCAGGTGATTGATAAACATGCACCACTTAGAAAGCAGACAGTAAGGAACTTTAGAGCACCCTGGTTAGATGAGGAATTAAGGGATCTAATGAAACAAAGAGATGATGCAAAACATGTAGCTCTCTCATCAAGTTATGAGTCAGATGGGCACATTTATAGAAGGTTAAGGAATTATGTTACAGCATTAAATAAAAATAAAAAACAATTGTATTATGGAAATAAAATTAAAGAGATAAAGGATGACAAGAAGAAACTGTGGAGTTTAGTGAATGGCATGATGGGCCGTAAGCCGAAATCCACCTCAACATATCTTGAAGTGGAAGGGACATTTTTGACAAAACCAGTACAAATTGCTAATTATCTGAATGATTATTTTCTTGATAAAGTAAAACATTTGAGGAGAAATATGAATCAAACTATAAATAGTAACTCCACATTTCTAATAAATGATTTAATTATGAAAAATAAGAAGTGTACATTTAAAATAGCAAAAGTGACAATTACAGATGTTGAATGTCTACTAGGTAAATGTAATGATAAACCACCAGGAGTGGATCATTTAGTTGGTACATTTCTTAGATATGTTGCTAATTTTGTTGCAGAGCCTATCTGTCATATTATACATTTGAGTATTGATAAATGTATTTGCCCACAGGCATGGAAAATAGCAAAAATTATTCCACTTGCAAAAAATCCAGCTGGACCATTTTCTGGTACAAATAGCCGCCCAATAAGTTTATTACCAGCGTTAGCAAAGATAATGGAGAGAATAATTTTCAATCAAATACAAAAATACTTTGAAGGTAACAAACTTAACACTGTGTATCAACATGCTTACAGACCTGGCCATTCGACATGCACCGCTTTAACACAAATTACAGATGACTGGAAGGGCGACCTAGATAATAGGAAGTTAGTGGGTGCAGTACTACTTGATTTTAGTTCTGCTTTTGATGTCATTGACCATTCTTTGTTGTTACACAAGCTGGAACAATATGGTTTTCATTTTGAAACGCTGAAGTGGTTAGAAAGTTACCTGACAAATCAAAGTCAAACTGTTTTTTTGAATGGAAGTCTCTCAAAGATGAAAACAGTCACTTGTGGAGTACCCCAGGGTAGTTGTTTGGGACCACTTTTATTTTCTATTTTTACAAATGACCTACCATTAGTGTTAGAAAAAGCTAAAATTGTAATGTATGCAGATGACTCAACAATATATTATGCAGCATCAACTACAAGAGAGTTGACAAATGTTATGAATAAAGATCTACTACTGATATCAGAGTGGGTCATACATAATAAGTTGGTACTTAATGCGGGAAAAACAAAATCTTTATTAATAGGATCAAATCATCAGTTAAAAGGTGAATCAAAATTGCAACTACATTTAAACCATATTCAAATTGAACAGGTCAAGGAGACAAAATTGCTAGGTATAACCCTGGATCATAAATTATCTTGGTCTAAACAAATTGATAATGTTGTATGTAAAATGGGAAGGGGTGTGTCACTTGTAAAAAGAATTGTAAAATATTTGCCAATGGATGTCAGTAGACACGTTTTGGATGCTTTGGTTCTGTCGCAGCTTGATTATTGTTTGGTTATATGGTCTAGTGCTGCTCAAAAGGATTTAAACAAACTACAAGTAGCACAAAATAAGGCAGCACGATGTGCACTGCAGTGCTCCTACAGAACCAGAGTCACTGAAATGCTGGAGACACTGAAATGGTTAACTGTCAGACAGAGGTCAACTTATATTTTGTTAAATGTTGTCAGAAATATTACAGTGACTCACTCACCAGATATATTATCACAAAGGTTTATAGCGCAATATGCACAACTATCAACTATCAAACTATCAAACACGACATACAATAGAAGGAAGGTTTGTATTACCCAAATCTAAATCAAATATGGGACAGAAAACAGTCATGCTGTACAGAGCCATGGTCAGCTGTATGGGCTCAGAACAGTCTCATAATACACACATGCACACAGAAGGATTCACACTTGTATTTCATGATCCGCAAAAGGATTCACACTTGTATTTCCGGATCCACACTTGTGTTTGTCAATGCACACACAAATGTGTTCCGTTTCATATACATGTAAATAAAATCCAAATACAGAAAAAAGTTTTACATATGTATTTTTGATCCTCACATATTTGTTTTCCGTTTAAAACCGCTGCACCTGCAAACACAAACCGCTTTCTGTGCATGGATCGCTCTGCATTCGTGTGTGGGTTTTTTGAGACTCCCCTGACGGTGACCCGATTCGTACTTGTAATTTTTTCTATCTATAGCCAATCAGATGTCTCCTCAATTCTAAGCCAATCACAT